AGGCAGGTCCGTTCATCGGTCAACACGGCCAGGTGCGCCGCTGATTTCCGTCTTACTTACTGGACTGGAAGCTTGTTTTCTACCTGCTTCTGTCACAAGCTTGCGGACCGGCTGCATTTGCACAAAGGATGCGTCGTGACTGTGACAAGGGTTCGTCATGGAAGGCTTGGAGCAAAAGGGCTCAATTCAATAATAATCTCGAAGGGTCTCTGAGGTCTTGAGTTGCTACGAGAGAGGAAGAGAAGGGTGACCGCCTTATATACATGAATGGAACGCCCGGGCCTAGAGCTCTTGCCCGGGCACGTGTTCAAGCTGTGTAACCAACAAGGCCTTTATCGGCGAGGCCCCTTTGTTGGGCCCTTTCCGTGTGACAGTGACGGGCCACAAGACGGACAGGAGGCCTTGTTAGGGTTTCAAGTATGAAAGCCCCAGGCAGCTATGACCAGATGCCTCAGTCACATAGGTCAAGTTACAGGCGCCCAGAATATCATGTACATACAAAGGCCGTAGATTGGGGTCCTGGATTGAATTCCGTAAGCGCCCCTTCGTCATAAAGAGAATTACCATGTTGAGTTTCAAGTCATTCAAATGCCGTCATTGTGCTTTGTGCCAAAGACACGACGACTACGGGCCTCTATTATTATCTGCTGCAGCCTATTGGCACAAAAAAATCTTGCCCATCTTTGTTTATCAATCTTTATTCACATTTAGCTGGAACACGTAATCCTACCAGGGCCTCAGTATTTTCAGTTTTCCGTGGCAAGGACAGGAATACTGGGCTTAAAACGTAATGATTCAATTCAATCTGATCAATCATTTTTTGAGGCATCAAGGCCCCACGAGTTTCAAAGAGGCCCGAGACGACCCTGGCTCAGGGTCCGACATGGGGTCTCGTGATTACTTCTTTGTTGTCCTGCAGCCTTTGTTGGCCCAACAGACGCCTTTGTTGTATTTTAACCGTGTGGGATTTCTTTCAGGCGACGTGTGTGTGGGACAAGGCCCGTTCACTTTTACATGACAACTCGATGGACAGCATTTGCTCGAAAACGCACAGAGACATCGCTTCACTTCTTTAGCTTATGATTATTAGGATCAACGGTAGATGAAGAGACATTGTGTGCGAAAGATGTTCAATTGAATAGAAACAAAAATTGATCCGGGGCCACCACTTCCAAGTAGTCTTCGATGATTTCCGTCACATTATTCCCCCCATGCCCTGCTCCTAGTGGAGAGCATGTCGCTTGTAGTTGCCCCCTGAATCCAAACCCGATGACATGGCAAACTGCCCTCTGCGAGAAAAGAAAAATTGTGAACAAAAGATGACAATCTGTTGGAGTGCAGGTGATGAAGTGCAATAGCTGAAGACGTGGATAGAAAAAAACCCAGTGGTTCGCAAGGCCGATTGATAACACCCATGGCGTTGAATAAGGGTTGACGGTAGCTTTTGAGACAGGCGAAGGTGGCGGTCAGCTCCCTTGTCGGTAATGGTGTTCTGATTAAATTTCCCATCTCTGCCCGAAAGATCTAAGCCATGTTCCTAGCGGGAGACCCGTCCTGCGATGGGAGTCCTGCAACTCTCGCACCCTATCTAGATCTCCAGCCATTCGAATCCCCCTCACACCATCCTCAGCTGCCATATACATAGCAGGAGTAATTTCCCAACCCGTCCGGCCTAAGATCTTCCCCACTAGGCGGATATTTCCACGAGCTGCGGCCATCACAACTGGCCGCACATCATGATATGCAACGAATACATCAGTGTTTTTCTGAGTTTCAACCTCCTTCAGACATTCTTCAGTTTCATCAAGATTGTTGGTTTCGGCAGCCCACATGAGATATTCGCTCACAGCCGCACAGTGAAGCATCTGTGCTTCATATAGTTTCCATGCCGCGTCATAAATTTTGTCTCTCAAATCAGGTCGTCCTTGCAACGTCCTTTGGTCGAATCGTCCTTGCAACGTCCTTTGGTCGAATCGTCCTTGCAACGTCCTTTGGTCGAATCGTCCTTGCAACGTCCTTTGGTCGGACATTATATATGTTCTCGGGCGTGTAGAAGAAAGCTCTTGTAGTTGGAAATCGCGGAATGTTTCTTTTGGAAAAAGAAAAAGTTGGTCGTTTTTAATCGGCTTTTCGAGAAGAAGAGTTGAAATTGCTGGCGGCTTTCTGGGAGAAGAAAAAGCTGCTAACTGCAGACTATTTTCTGGAAAAAGAGGAAGTTGGTGGTTTTTTTGTCGTTTTTGTAAAAGGAAGAAGAGTTTGAGATTGTTGGCGGCTCTCTGAGAGAAGAAAAACTTGGAGTTGGCAGTGGTTGAAGGTTTTCCATGAGAAGAAAATGGGATTGTAGGTAAATTTATATGCCAACCAGCGCTCTTGTATTGTGTAATGAATATCGTTTAACGCATAATCTTAATAAGAGTATCCGTTATTCTACATGCTGTAGGAAACCCGGTTTTGCCTGATTGTGAAGTGTTCAGGTCTTGATGCCACTGCATTGTCTTGTGTCGTAAGCCAGAACCATCAACACGAGTCCGTCACACGTTGAACAAGGACAAAAGAACGACAAGTTAGCCAACGGCCCGCCATCACCTGCGTCGGGACTGCCTCAGAATCTTCGCATTATTGACACATCACTTATGCGTCTCCGCCAGCAGTCACGCACAGACAAAGGGTCTTTGATTCTAGCCCCCCCCCCCGGGGACCGTGCTGGAACGGGCCGAACCCAACATGTTTTCTGTACGAGACGACAGTTGGCTGGATTTCTTAGTATTTCCACAAGGACCCGTCGCACAGGGGGCTGATTCAGTTAGGCATAGATATGGAACATCTGATAGACATAGGTTGCCTTGTTGACTTTGTATCGAGTGTCACAAATGGGGTGTGCAAATAGCCACTTGATAAAAAGATGATGGGGGAGAGATGACGGGGGACTTGTGAACAAAAAACCCACACAAGATTCTGATGTTTTGTACAAACCACTGCGGACGCAGTGATCTCCCTGCGCCACGTTGCAAACGTGTCTGGTGGGTTGAGATATGCAACCTCCGTTAAAGCAAGGGCCGGCAGACGCATGCAGCTGAGACAGATTGCAGAAACTGATGCACACTCACGGCTCCCCGGGTGAGCCTGCATGTTACACGGTTAGAGCCCAACAACAATGAAACCCAACAAAGGGACATGCCCAAGACCAGACCTTGCGATTACACTGGTCGGAACACATGGCCCGGTGGAAACCCTGAGCACCAATTCCTTTCATGTATACAAAGTGGTCACCCGCCCCCTCCTCCCTCCTGGAAAACCAAGGACCTTTGACATCCTACGAGATCATCTTTGAATCGACCCATTTCGCTCCGAGCCCTTGTGTCGAGCCCTCGTCACGCTCGATCGTCGCTACGTGATGGCTCTCTTCCCCGACGTTTGGGTGGACCAACGACGACCGCGACTTCCTCATCATTGCGTCGGATGAAGTCGAGCCGAGGTGGTAATTTGGGCGACCGACGTGCGAAGCCTTCCGATGGCGGGATCGATTCGGCAAGCGCGTTATTGCTATTTCCTTATGCGACGACGACCGCTATAGAAAAAGTGCTGGTGACAAGAGCAATCTACTCGGCGCTTTCCATGGGCAACATGGCATCGCTAAATGATGGAAATACTTGACCGACGTTTGCTGGATGCTACTGTGTTCCAACATTAAAAGACTATGATGACTGGGAGAATATCGCAACGTGTGCCGAATCATACCGACGTGCCCGGAATAGAAAACGGCCGCGCCAACATCCATGACATAATTCTGGTGTGAATATCTCGAACTGCAGGCGAGACTGTCTTTGGCTTGTGCGTTCCGCATGCTGCCCGTTCACAGAACGCAGGAAATTGACGTTGGTTTATGAGATTAGCACTCAATCTTTTTAAACAATGCTTCAAGATATCCTTAGTATCAGGCAGGCTCGCTCACGAGTTGGCACGATCCGATGCGTCGCTGATTTCCGTCTTTTTTACTGGCCTTGAAGCCTGCTTACCGTCTGCTTCCCTCTGGGTAACATACATGCACCTCGTGTTTGTGTCAACACGATCTTTCCTGGGGACATCTATAACCCCTCTATTATTACTATGACGCAGTCAAATAGTATAAAGCAATCTTGCTCATCTTTAGAGAAGCGGCACGGTCCCTGTCCGGGGATACATTTGGTACCATGGCGGGTGCATCCATGCTGGCATCTTGCATGATACACCAACTCGAATTGAAAGCATTCACGAACGAATTTATGAGTTTTTTTTTTTTTTTTTTTGAATTTGGGCTAGCGCGATATGGTAAGCGACCTGGACGATAATTCACCTAGATTCACCTCTCCCGACGAACTCTTCTGCAATAGGACTCAGCGCTCCCGCAGCTCACGACGTACGGAAGTTTATTCACACGTAGTTGTAGTAGGTAATTCCACAAGAGCCCAAGTGGTTTTCAGTTTTCTCTGTCAACGTGTGAGAACAGACTCGTTTACTTTTACAGAATGAGTTGGACAGCACTCATTCAAAGAAGCATAGAGAAAATTGCTCTACTTTTTTTAACTTTTTTTTCTTAGGATCAACGTAAAAGAAAGATGGTGTAAGAAACGTATTTTATTTAATAAAAACACACATTTATTCTGGTCCACTAGTAAAGAAGTACTATCTGATGATTTGCGTTAGACTTTTCCGCCAATGCCTTACTTAGTAAAGAGCATGTTATTTGCGGTTGCCTTCTGAAATCCAAACTTGCTGGCATGACAAACTGTCCTCTGCGACAAAAGGAAAATTGCAAAAATTGCAAAATTGCAAAAAAAAAGAGAAAAAAAAAAAACAAGACGGCAAACAGTGGGAGCGAGGGCAATAGAGTCAAATAACTCAAGATGTCGATGAAAAACACACAGTAGTCCGTAAGGCTAATAGGTAAACCCCATAGCGTTTGAATAAGAGTTGACGGCAGCTTTTGAGATATCGGCAAGCTCCCCGGTCCGTAGTGACGCTCAGGCTGCATCGTCCCTCCAGCCCAAGCCGTCTCGAAAACTCATGCCGAGCCGCCAGTAATTCCATCCTGCTCGAATCCTAGTTCTGTCTGCATCCTCCAACACCCTGGGCCGTTCCTTCCAGTCGACCAGAAAGTCAATCGTTTCCTGCCGCATAGAGAGGCGGGCTGTCGTCACCATCTCCTCGGTAACGCTCCAAGATGACAAGAGCAAGAAAAGCTTCACTGTGTTGGTATGACCATTTTCTATGGCCGCCATGACTGGACCCAACTCTTCTGTTGCGAGGTAGCATTTGAGCAGAAAAGAATTATGCAAATCATCCAGAACCCATGAAATTCCACAGTAATCGCCCATTTTGGCAGTGATCATGAGTAGTTGGGTCGCACTTTGTAGGCGCTGGGAGATAAGGGCGCCATCAATAATCGTACCCGTCTCCTTGGCGTCGATCTTGTATTTAGCTGATTTGTAGGACTGATATATCGATTTACACTTCGTTTGGTCTTGTGACAGAACGTCGTAGGACTCCATTTCTCCTTCCGCAAAAACCAGTCGCATCAGGAAACTGGTGGCCATTTTCTGGGAGAAGAGAGAGTTTTGAAGTATGGATCGTTTTTTGGAGAAGAGGAAGTTGAAAAAGGCGGAATAAGTTCCGGGAGAAGAAAAAGTTGGAAATGGTTGAACGGTTTCCAGGAGCAGAGAGTGGGATTACGCTTGAATTTATACACCAGCCAGTGCCTGTGCATTGTGTAGTAGAAACACTTGAATACGTGAACTTGAAAAGAACATTTATTGTTCTACATGCTGTAAGAAAAGCGTCTTTGTCCTCTGGGTGAAGTGTTCGGTCTTGATGCCAGTCACTACATCAGTCTGGCGTTGCAAACCAAGACCCTGAACACGCTGAACAAGGTCAAAACAACGACACTTGCAAGTTAGCCAACAACCGTGCCGATACTGGATTGCATTCAACTGATGCGGAACTGCTTGAGATTCCTCACTGCCATGTACCGTCGTTGGCCGATGCATCTCCGCCAGCAGTCACGCACAGACAAAGGGCCTTTGACTTCCAAACCCCCGGGCCGTGCTGGAACGGGCCGCTTTCAGCGTAATTTCTGCAGGGGGAGACTCTTTGTTACTTTGGCAGGTGATCCCACAAGGACCGGCACGCACGGGGCTGATTCAGGGAGGCATAGACATGACACACCTGACAAACACAGGTTGCTTTGTTGTTACACGGAAAAGGCCCAACAGATCGTAAAGCCCAACAAAGGGGCTTCGCCGATACAGGACTTGTTGGGTACACAGCTGGAACACGTGCCCGGGCAAGGACCCTAGGCCCGGGCGTTCCTTTCATGTATATAAGGCGGTCACCCCTCTCTTCCTTTCTCGTAGCAACTCGAGACCTTAGAGACCCTTTGAGATTATTATTGAATTGAGCCTTTATTGCTCCAAGCCCTCTTTCTGAGCCCTTGTCACATTTGTCGACCTTTTATCCAGCGTCACAAACGGCGTCTGCAAATACACACTTGAAAAGATGATGGGGGACTTGTGAAAAAAACTCGCAGACGATTCCGGTGTCTTGTGTACGAAACCACTGCGGATGCTGTCAACTCCCAGCGTCACTTTGCGCAAAATGTCCGGTCGTTATTGTGGGTGAAGCAAGTCCAAATTAAGCACAGACAGAATATCCCCGTTTCCTTCAAAAGCATTCTCCTTTTTCCCTGACGTTTCGGACACAAAGTACGAAGAGTAGGCTCTTTCATTCACGAGCCCCCCTAATATTTTGTGCTCCTTTGGCAATTACTACCATCCACCAGAGATATCACATGCAAAAAGACGGCTGCTTGGCCATCAACTATAGTTATCCTACCGAACTCTCCCAACGACCATTTGCGGAGAGACTTTTGTTCAAACTACAGACACGGGTATCGTGGTGACATTCCAGACAGCACCTACACCCAAATCTACTACCGTTTCAATCATGGCCCTTGCGCTGAACTCGTCAGAGGGACAGTGAGTTGGCTCATTGCCGCGTTCTGGATGGGGACAAGGTACAAAGAGTCGGTAGCTTCACTCATGGACGGCGTCGACTTCAGATACAGGCGTGTTGTAATCATCTACAAAGATTATGACACACGCCTTGTCATTTCCTCATGCGACGATACGACGACGCCGTGAAGCCTGCTCGTCACGCAAGAGCTTTTTCATAGCCTTGGACGCTGTTCGGACGATGAAAAAAGTGCTGGGTGGCCTGCGCAATGTGCTCAGCGCCTTTTGGGCAGCGTGCCGTCGCTGAATGGTGGAAATACCAGACGCTTCCGGATGCTACTGTGTTCCGTCATTGAAAGACTATGATGACTGGGAGAACATCGCAACGTGTGCTGAGTCATACCAACGGCTGCGCTACCAGATGCATTTGCGCGATATAATACCGATGCAGAGTCGATATGAAGATGGAATACTTCAGCAGAGCCGTGAAAAGGCTCGGCCGACGATGCTCGGAAACTGCATCGACGCAAGGGTGTCCCGTCGCGTGGATCTGAAACCGAGTGCCACATTCGGGGCAAAGCGTTTTACGGCAAGGGCCTGGCGCAATATATCAATTGATCCCAGCCATGTCAGCCGTCGGGTACAACTGCAGCGGCCAAGGTCCGGCCCGAGCGCCAATTCACAAGAGAGCCGAGGTTTCAATATCGGCGCATTGCATGGAAACAGTCATGACCGGTCCGGCCCCCAGTCTAGCTAACGAAGGCAGATTGTCAGTGACGCCATTCGCATTAATAACGTCTGGTCTGGTAGCACAAGCACGCACACGGATGTAATGCAAGATTCACCGCAAATCCGACACCAAATCCAATTCGGCACAGCTCATTGGCCGAGCACCATGAACGCCTGGCTGGTCAAAGTCATGCCAAGCACCGTCACCCGGCGCCGGCTCCGATCCGACTGGTGAGTCCGTGGTACCGCCAGGGGCAGCCCGTGTCGGATGGACACACAACACACTCAGATCACATTGGAAAGCATTCAATGTTCAATGTTTGATTGAACCCGAAAAAAAGGCCAGTCGACCGGCAATCGAATAAGCCCGGCAAGTGCGATGCCTGGACCTGACACTCTAGCGCTGGCGCTAAGCCTTCTCCCGCCTCCCGCCTGGCGCTCGGGCTTACTCGCGACTTGTTAAATCCGATGCACCAGACACATGCAACCTCTCACAAGTTTATAATCAGATGCACCATCGATTGATCTTAAAACCCCCATGCGACGACGACAACACAGGGCTCCCGTTTTCCATTGTCAACACTGCATTGAGCCGCGACAATGCCACCCGGGCGTGAGCTGCCCTCCCGTTCGCCCCCCGTCCCCGACCAGCTCGACGCGCCCTCCTCACTCCCTCTAGACTCAAACACACACGATCATCCGCAAGGCGACATCGAACAAAAGGCCGTCGATGGCGACCCCCGTCCCGCCCATGCCTCGCCGCCCGCCGACTCGCCACCCCCCAACGGCGGCTACTGGGCATGGATGCAAGTCGCCGCCGCCTTCAGCATCTTCTTCAACACATGGGGGGTCCTCAACACCTTCGGCATCTTCCAGACCTACTACGAAGGCGGCACCCTCTTCCACGAGTCGTCATCCAACATTTCCTGGATCGGCTCCATCCAAGCCTACTGCGTCCTCATCGTCGGCCTCGTCTCCGGCCCCGTCTACGACCGCGGCCACCTCCAGCTGCTCCTGTTCTCCGGCTCGTCCCTCCTCGTCCTCGGCTTCATGATGCTCAGCCTCTGCCGCACCTACTGGCAGGCCCTCCTCGCGCAGGGCTTCTGCATCGGCATCGGCGCCGGCTGCCTCTTCGTGCCGTCGCTCGCCCTCCTCCCGACTTACTTTAGCACGCGGATCGGGCTGGCCGTGGGCATCGCCGCCTCGGGCTCCTCGCTCGGCGGCGTCGTCTACCCCATTGTGTTTTATAGGCTGATTGACGGCGTCGGCTTCGGCTGGACCGTGAGGACGATTGGCTTTATTGCGCTGGCGACGCTGGTGGTCCCGCTGTACTTTGCTGAGATGCGTGTCAAGCCGCTCCGGGCGAGGGCCGTGCTGGACCGGTCTGCGTTTACTGATGGGCCGTATGTGTTTTTTGTGGTGAGCACGTTGGTTGGATTTGTGGGCTTTTACGTCGTCTTGTTCTATGTTTCGTACTTTAGTGCCGCTACGGGCATTGCGTCGTCGGAGATGTCGTTTTATCTGATTCCGATACTTAACGCCGTGTCCATGTTTGGCAGAATACTGCCGAACGCCGTGTCTGACAAGACGGGCCCGTTTAACTGTAAGAGAGGACGCCTTTTCCTTGGCCGCAAGGATTTACAAGCTAACAGCAGTGAAAAGTGTTTGGCCCGGCGGCCATTATTTGCGGCGTCTTGACGTTTTGCCTCATCGCGGTCAAGAGTCTCGGCGGCATGATTGCCATTGTCGTTCTCTATGGCTTCTTCTCGGGCGTCTTCATCGCCATACCGGGCGTTTGCTTTGTCAGACTGACCGAGGACAAGAGCAAGCTCGGCACCCGTATCGGCATGGGGTTTGCCGCGTTTGGGTTTGGCGTTCTCGCCGGCGGACCCGGAGGCGGTGGTATTCTAGGCACTGACCGGAGCGACCTGCACTGGAACTCGGTGTGGGTATATGGAGGATGCACCATGACGTGCTCTGGTGTTTTGCTGATTGTTTTGCGATTCTGGTTGTCGAGGGGGAGGCTTGCGCTGAAAATATAGAGGCGGCTTTCCACAAAGACTAGAAGAACTGCCACACCAGGCACGGATGACCATTTACTAATAATGTATTACTACTACAATAAAGAAGAATAGACTGGGCTATTCCCCGAATATCCGGGGCTGTGCTGGGGCTGACCGCATGCAGCTTACATGTCACGTTCCACAAAACTCCGTCCCTTCCGCAGCCCTGGCCATGGTTTAAAAAGCCGCGGGAGGATTGTACATCAGACATGGAAACACGGAGCGTGTCCAACACATGGTTTGGTGAATTCTGAGAAACTCTGTCGCGGACAAAGCCGCGCGACCATTGCACCATGGCATTCGAGTGGGCGTCGTGGCTTGAAAACAACCACATCATTGTCCACGCGGCCGATTTACAACTGAACCCGCCCCAGAGCTACCTCTTCGTCCAGGACTTTCTCATCATTCTGTGTGCCCTGCTCTACTGCTTCTGCTATGTGTTTTACACGCTCCGCACCAAACGCGACCGGTTCCTCGCCGGGCCCGTCGACCTGCTGTACGTGCATTGATTTCCGGCCACTGCCACGAGTCCGTGACTTACTTAAAGACTCTGTTAGGTTCGGCAACCTGGCCTACGAGCTGTACTATCCATTCGTCATGGCGCGCGGCAAGCTCGAGCTCGCTGGATGCCTCGTCTGGCTCCTGCTGGACGTGAGGTTCGTATACACGGCCATCAAATATACCTGCCCGCCCGGGACGCGCCTCAAAGTGACACTGCGCTGTGCGCTCTCCACGCTCGCCCTGACGGCCGTCTACTACCTCTTGGGTCTGTATTTTCCCGACGACGGCGAGCAAGTCACGGCGTATTGGACGGGGTGGCTGCTAGAGCTGGGAATCGGATGGTGCGAGGTGCTGTACCTGTGGAAGCACGCGCACACAAAGGGCCAGTCGCTCGAAATCTGGTGAGTTACAACGTGTAAAATGCCGCAATTTCTGTTTGGGGGCGAGACCACCGTGACGGGCTGACAGGTGCAGGGTTGTGAGATTTTGCGGCGTCCTGTCTGCCATGGCCGTCTTCTTTTGGCGCTATTTGAATGTGCCGCAGAACTGGGCGTACGTGGTGTCGTGGCCGAGCATCGTCTTGGTGGTTTTAAACGTCGTCCCGGAGTTGATGTATCCGTTTTTATATCGTAGGGCGGAGAGAAAAATGAGGGAGGCCGCGGTGCAGAAGGAGAAGACGTACTAACAGCGATCTGTTTCAATGACGTCAATGACGTCAGAGCAGGGTGCGAGACAATTACCCGCTTTGGGCTGCTTAGGCCCTTGAAGGTGCTGTGTTGAACAAGATGTAGGAGCCGTAGAGGAAAGGGAAAGATGGAAAGTTTGTCGATTTTTTACACCACCAAGTTGGTAACGATCTGTCTTGTGCTGTGACGAATACATCTCTGAGACGGAATCTGGAGGCATGGACAATCCTAGCCAGCAACAAGCATCTATTTTATGACCCCAGACATGCAGCGACGAGGAGGCAAAGGGATAAGGAATACAAGTGCTTCGTGCATCTGGTTTACAGGGCCCATCCGTGCACATGACAGACGGCCAACGAATTAAATATCTTGAGATGAAGCCGTGCGGCGAGCCCAAGCGCTCAAGGTATAACATTCTGTGATGACTCTTCTTCAGCGACACAGGCACTCTTCTGGCATGTGCGCAACCGCACGTCCATCTTCGGGGAGTAAATGTAAATCATACTTCAGCGTACTCTGACCTGGCGGCTTCCAGACTTTGTGGTACTGGCCACTCAGGCACTCATTGGCCTCGAATGGCCTTTTCAAACGCATACTTTTGACAGGTATACGTACCGGCAAGGAGAATGCGCGAGCAGCTTGCATATCATTGGCATCGACGCGCCTCACTTTCCCGGATGGGAAGTTGGCTGCACATGGGATCCAGTGAGATGCATAATCATCCATGTGAGTCGGTATTGCTGCCTCTTTTTTTCAGAAAATAAAACACGTTCAATTCAAGACAATCAGGAAACTCTAGCTGATCGTAAAATAACCAAGACTCGTGTCACAATCACCATGTCCGACATACATGACCGAGGATACTCTCGTTTCCTTGTTGTCCACTCTACGTTTTGCTCATTTTTAAATAAAACATGCCGTTCCATGTACGAATTTCACATACGAAATCACGACTCACCAAAATAGTTTCTTTCCAAGCCCAAAACTACCGAATACCCGTCCCGTCATGTCTCCAACCGAGCGCGGCGGCTCAAATCGTCACCACCATACTACATATATAAACTGGTGGGCTAAAAACGCACGCCAACTTACAACACCATGCTCTCATCGCAATCTGACGTCTGAAACAAAAACACCTTCCCGCGCCTTGGCGTCATGTTCGTGTAGGGCAAAACGCCAGATTTAGATTACACCACCTCCAGCAAGCCCATTCGCCTACACACAGCTCATCGCCATGTAGCCCTGCTTGCTTCCCCAGTGCCGCCATCTCAACCATGCCATGGACGCCATATTCGGCACTTCGGCACGCATTTCTGGCTTTCGCCCTACTGAGATGGGTGAAATCCCAAGTCGGCGGGAGCAGCTGAGCCACTCGCGCCCAGCCTCGTCGAGATGGCTCAAGGTTTGAAGCCATCCAGTGGCGCCGGTCGGCAGCATGAAATGGACCGCTCGGCACATCTCTCCTGCCACGGGCTCGAGTATCGGGCGTGTTCCATGGCAGCTCATGGGACGGTACTGGGCGGCGCATCAACTGTCCGAGTATTAACATTCATGTTGCGTTCAGCGCCCATGCCGCCATCGACTGCTTCCCGCCACGGGGCTTGGGACTAGACCCTTGGTTTCCTTTCAAAGGAGATATTTTGGTGATATTTGAGGTTTCTGTTCGTGTTGCGCCGGTGGCTAATGCATTCAAGTGACAGCCAGGCTTCCGATGTCGTCGCCACCATCAGCAGCGCTCAGTATAAAGACCAGCTGCCGCCGTCTACGTCGTGGAGCAGACATCGTGAGTCGTGACACAATCACAGCAGGTAAGACGTACTTCCAGTCACCATGTACACCAGCCTGCAACCCGCGCTTCTTCTATCCCTCTCTGCCGCCGCCGCCGCCGCAACAATCCGCGTCGACGTCGGCGAGGGCGGCGCCTTCGCCTTCTCCCCCGACACCATCAAAGCGAGCACCGGGGACACGCTCGACTTCCACTTCTACCCGCTCAACCACAGCGTCGTCATGGGCGACTTTAGCAACCCGTGCGCCCCGGCCAAAACGGGTGGCTTCTTCTCGGGCTTCATGCCAGTGTCGTCTGGCGAGGCGGTACGCCCATCTGCATGTGGTGCCTCATGTACCACCGCACTGCTGACTGGTGAATAGACCGACTCGTTCCAAGTAATGGTCAACTCGACGGACCCCATCTTCTTCTACTGCGCGCAGACCGTTCTCGAGCACTGCAAGAACGGCATGTCGGGCGTCGTCAACCCGTCGTCGTCGCAGACGCTGAGCGCGTACAAGAACGCCGCCAAGTCTGTGAGCACGGCGAGTCACCCTGCTAATTCCTTTGGAGGCACGTTGGTCTCGTCTGGGCAGACGTCTACCTCGGCAAGTGCCAGCCCGACGAGCTCGGGGGGAGGGACGTATGGAGGGGGCGGAGGGAGCGGAGTGAGGGCGCCGGCTGAGGCGGTGGTTGCTTTTGCCGTGGGCATGGCTGCCTTTCTTGTTGGCTAGAGGCATGCGGTAATGCTTGCGGCGATGGATAATGCCTTGGTGATGGAATTTGAAGAATGGTTGGCACTGTTTGTGTTTTACGTTTGTGAACTGGCCGTGTTATCAGGAAAATAATGACTAATGAGACTATTTGCAAAAAAACTTTGGCTGCTCTTGTATGGGACATTACCGCGTCTTGATGCGTAGACGGTCTATTTTTCTGGTCTTTTACTGTCCTAGCCTGGTACAGCCTGATACTGTGTTATCAGATTTTACGCTTTGCACGAGACTCGTATCATGCTTGTAACTTCACTGGACGAATGAGCGAAACGATTCACCCCTTAGTATAGGTCAATATACCAAGCTGTTCGTATACTACTGTTATGAATTTATGAATATAAAGGGCAAGCTAAGAATGCCTCGGACATGACCCTTCCATAGACCGCGTCTAGTTGCAGTCCTCCAAGATGAGCTGGGCTGCTTTTTGAGCAACAGCATACAGAGTCGACATCGTGTGCGAGGTAAGTTGAAACGGGAGGATCCCAGCATCAACAACGCGGAGGTTCTTAGCTCCATACACCCTACCACTCGTTAGCGACGTCACTTTGGCATTGATCGACGCGGACGTACCGTAGTCGAGAGTCCACCACGCCGCCCAGATGCCGTGGCATCATGGCCGTCGACCCAATCCAGTGACTAGCAGGCCCGGCCGTCCCTTTCAACCACGCGAGATACTCGGCGTCGGTACCGTTGGGCCCAATCTCAGGGTCATAGTAAGCGTCGTCTACAAACCCTTCAAACGCCGTACTAGCCCAGAGCGCTGGCGAAAGTCGTGCCACTGCAACCGCTACCTGCTGGTCAAACTGGTCCGTGAGGAACCGGGGCGTAATGACGGGGACCTCGAATGGATCCGCAGAATGAATATGTACATGGCCTCTTGACAGGGGCATCAGAGGCCAGAAAGGGGCGCCAAAGACGGCCGGGTACGTCTCGGCGATGAACTCGGCAACCGGCACTTGAGCAGCTTAGTATACATGTTTGACCAAGCAAGATAGGGGGAACTTGCGTCTTGCTTCGACGGTGAGCTGTATCGTGGCATTCAGGATACTCTCGGCGCCGGCGATGCTCACCGCGCCGCCGGCACGGACGAGCTCCTCGGCCCGGGAGGCCAGATTTGCCGGCGACGTCAAAGATTTTGCGACACCATGCGCATCTCACGGTAGTCAGTACAGGACGTACCAGATTCAAAGAAAGGACCCCTACCAGTAGCCCATATCTCGTCAATATTGACCAAAGAGATCTCTGGACCAAACAGCTTGCCACCGTCTACCAGGGAGGTGTCATTCTGATGGTTCTCAGACATGTGAGCATATGTCGTAGACCCGGGTTGGTCCTGGGCACAGCATTAACGGCCATTTATTCGCATTCATTCATCTTGACCAGCTCAGCCACCACTCACATTGAGGTTGACACCCACGCCCGGCAGATCAATCAGCTGTGCAACGTTGGCCGCCGACAAGACACTTGCCCTTCCGACCCCGGAGCGCTCCAGGATCGCCGGCGTGGCCAATGTACCAGCGGAGAGGATGACGGATTTTCTGGCCTTGACAGTGTAAACTTTTCCCGCGTCTCTGGCCAAGCTGCTTGAAAAAAGAACCCCAGTGGCCTGGAGGTCTTTGTCAAAGGTGACCTTGGCGACGGTATGGTTGGCAAGCACGGTCAAGGTTGTCCTCTGCTGGTCCGGCGCCCAGAGAAGGGCGTCCGCGGCCGAAGACCGTACATGTTTGCCCGTCACCGGATCGTTCCAGATGGTCCAGGACGTGGACGCTGATACAACCGAGGTGCGGCTGGAGAGGTCATTTCCAACCTCGAGCCCCGTGAACACGAGAGGCAGGCCCTTCTTGTACAGCTGTACCGCCTTGGGAATACGCATGGGCGTCTATGCAAAGCTCAGTCAACTCGAATCTCTGGGATGCCGGTATCAACGGCTTACAGGAAACGAAGTGTTGACTTGTCCGTGGTATCCGTGCACTTCTGGGTCATAGCCGGCCCCTTGGGCGACTTGGTCGGCTGTTGGGGGGTGATTGCGCTCTATTGCTTTCATGTACTTGGGGTTAGGGTTAGGGTTAGTTGCTGATCGTAACGTTGTTCTGGAAACCATGATGAGTCTGGTGCCTACCGGCTCGAGATTGTCCCAGTTCCACCCGGGATTGCCCAGCGTTTCCAGCTTATCAATCTCTGCCTTGGTTGGCCTGTACCATACCATTCCATTGACTATGTGCGCCCGTTAGCTGGGCCGCGCGCCGAGTGCGTGGCCAGACTCACTGGATGTTGATCCGCCGATGCAAGCGCCGGCGTCAATCGTGGAGTTGAGTTTATTCCCGGCGTCGTCGTAAACGGGGTACTTCCAGTTGCAAAACACAGCTGGGTACACTGAGCGCTCTACATCCCATATCGCTGGATTCCATGAGCCGTCGGGGCCGGCTTCCAACAGAAGCACGGAATGACCTTGGCCGCTGAGCTATATCGGTTGCTATTAAGCCGGCAAGTTCGGTCACTGCATGCTCGACACGTGGAATGGCACGCACCTTGTTGGCCACGGTAATTCCGGACAGGCCAGCGCCGGCAATGACAAAGTCAAACGTCTTGTTGGAGGCGAATGCCGCATTGTCCGTGACCGTGGTTGCCCCGGCTGCGGAAGCAAAAGCTCCAATGCAGACTTGAAGTGGGGACAAGCGCATTTGATGCTTTGTGTATGTATCAATTGATGTCAACTGGTATGTATGTGGGAGCAGTCACCTTTTTGGGCCTTGTCTGAGCAAGCAGACACGGGTTTTAAGAATGGGTATCAGGATGGCGCAGAGTTAGATCGACGTTTGCTCCTCTGCAAGCTGGTTCTTGTTGCAAACATTTGAAGTGTCGATCGATGAGGGGCAGCTGTATGTATGAGATTTCAATCCTATTGACGTTGTCCAATGTCGACAGCCATGTGACGCATGCGGTGCTCACCAGCATCCCAGCCGTCACAAGAAAAATGGGGCAATGAGACATGGATCGACAACATTGTCTGGTGCAATGGCAATTTGGCATCAATGGTTTGAATTCCCACCATTGTATAGTCAAGGTGTCAATGCAAAAGCTGAACTCGCCTGGTAAACCGCAGTCTGGATCGGCCAGCCCACAACTCACCTGGTGTGACAATGCAGATGCTCCAACAAACCACGTTGCATGTAGAAATATAGTAAATTTTCCCAAATCGTATAAACCATGCTCTTGTGATAAAGTTTGCTGGTAGTGCCAAGCGCAACGGCTTTTGAAACTCCCACCACGATGCACAAGAACTCGGCGTTGCAGATCGGAGGGCTCTATACACCAGCAACATTCGAGTCCTACTAGTGAGTCAAAAAGGCGAAAAAAATGAGGAGTATCGTAGGGATCCCAAGGGCCTGCAGGGCCCCGACCGGTATGAAAGGGGTCGGTTAAATTGGCAGGATTTTTCATGAATCAACTCAATTCCATCATTGATAAAGATATCAATCAAGGCTCTAAAAGGCCTCCGAAACATCATCGTTTTCCACTACCAAATCGCTGTTATGAACTTGACTAGTCGCAATCTACTGGGAAATTGTAAGCTGGTCCCGACAGCAATTTAGCAACTGGTGCCGCTTGATATAAATGGCATCAAGGTTCATGGCCAACCAGCGAACAAAAGGGACTGTCGAGTCGAGGCAACAAAAGGCAGATTTCTCATCCTAGTCCACCACGTCGTATATAAGATGTCAAATGCGTCAAGGGCATTGGATTGCGAGGTCAATAGTCAATCCGCCTTTGTCCCGCAGCTCACAAAAGGCCATGATGCGAACAACGAATTTTACTGCCGCTATTTGGGTATATCGGTTCTGGTTATGTTCCAACACTCGCGGCCCTTAAGCTGCAAAGAGCAAACCGCTTTGAACAAACATGTACGGCTGGCCATGTGAGGAGTGAAAGTGTTACACGGATGACACGTTGCCATGAAGGCACGGGCCGAACCTTGATCCCGACGATAGTTACACAAGGGCTCTGATCATGAGACCTGGGGCAAAGTCCCGCACCGCTTCTTAATATACTTAAATAAAGGTCTTCCGCCCTCAGGGCCTCAAGGAATGCCAAGGACCTTTGATATCAAAGCAAAGTATTAGCTGAATATGGACACTGTTCTACGCCCCTAAACACAGGCCCTTGTCACAGAAAGAGACACGTCTTGGGTCCTAGCTTCACAAATGTTCAATCGCATTCCTTTGTGCTGGTATCAATATCCGTCACTCGACCAAGTGTTTGTCCTTTGTCGCCGCACAACTATCTGCGTTCCCTCTGACTTCTTTCTGGGCTTCATTTGCGCTGGTTGTCCCGCTGACAAAGGCCGCGGCTCAGCTTCACTACACAATGCTGTGCATTTCTTGCATGAATATTGTGTCAGAGTTCAACAAGGTAAATCGTACAAAGTGCTTGTCTATTGCGTGAGATTCATAAATTGTGGAGTGGCATCGAAATTCCTGTGACATTAGTAGTCTTGGACGCAATGAGTTCATTGCCAGCCTGATCATTCATCTGTCTTGCAGCTATCCACGCAAAGTATGTGTTTGTATTTGATAATTGAATGCACTATTCTCAGCTCCTTTGAGCCCCCCGCCCCTAGGAAGGTGTACTTAAGGCCCCCTCGCTCCCAAGTTGATGTAAGCGACGAGCAACTTTAACAAACATAGGCTGCATCTAAGCAACACGCATCAAGTCGAGGAAGCGAAACCACAATGGCCAACGGCAAAACAGACTCTTCTAGCCCCCCAAGCATCCCAACTTTTCAACCTGAGGGCCCAGACAATGTGTGCGTTTTGTATCGCTGTCCCGGATTCGCCATGATTGTGCAACATCATATACTAATTAGTTGATAGCAAGCCAACAGTGACAAAAACTGGTTTCATTATACCCGGAATAATGGTGACGAAGCCGCAGGATTCCCGTCCCCCCAGTCGCCTTTCGAAAAGGGAAATGGACGAGTTGAAAAACGTGCTGTCATGCCCGCCTTGCCTGTAGCAACACCAGTTAAGCGAAGCAATAACTAAATAGTATTTTGACTCGTAACTAGCTAATTAAATAAGGCAAGTCGCATCTGTATATACGATAAATCTCGAAACTAACTTTAAAATCTCAAGTCCAGCTTTTAGCTCGTCTTAATGCCAGTCCCTTTGTGTATCACCTGGGATAAGCGCAGCAAAGTGCGTTACAAATGCACGGCGCTTGCAGGTCAACAGCAATATACAGCAGACTCTACAGTCAAGTCTAAAATTAATCCACATTATCTACCCGTCTTCCGGCGTCCTTCCTTGCAGTAATTTTTCATTCACGCTAAATCAAAATCCATCCATCTACGAACAAAGATTCCTGCCTCAACACATCTAGGGTGTAAATCTGCCCCAGTAGCTCTTCCCTCCGCGGGTGTCGGATGAATTCCGACACCGCGGATGGTAATAGTCCTCTTCGTTGCCAAACGGCCACATGGGAATCACACAAACCTCATCAACACCACACCCCGAACAGCGCTTAAAGCGCGCCCAGTCAAGATAGTCCACCAGCGACTGCAGCCTTTTTCTAGCCGCTGCAAGTGTTTGCTCCTCCGTCAACTCTTCGCTCTCCAACAACTCGCGGACCGCGAAAAGCGCCGTGCAAATCTCCGTCGTGACTTGTCGAAACGCCACTTGAATGAGATGATCAGATTCCGACACCGGAGAAATTGCCTGTAGATAGAAATCGCGACAGTGCTCGAGGGCATTTTCCAAAGATGGTTCATCCTCCTCGGTGTAATCGATGTATACGTCGAGCAGGAAGGCTACTTCCAGCGCTAGCACCTCTGCCGAAGGGACGTGTTGGACCATATATTCCAACCTGTCGGCGTACCGGCCAACAATGATATCCGAGACATCTTGCCAGTCTATACCTCGTGGTTGTTCATCTCGACGCTTCTCGACAGTAGCACTGAGATACTCGTTGATAGCAGCTAGTTCAGCACCAGTAGCTTCAGAAAGCCTAGGTAGATCAGGCCGCCCGGCATCAGGATTAGTCAAATTAACCGGGAAAAAAAACGCCGACACCATGGACGAGTAGTCAATCACGGTCCGCGACGATCCAATGTCAAAGTACCGCTCCGCTATGCCGCGGAGGTACTCAAACTGCCGCGTCTCGCTCCGAAGTTCACGACTACTCCGTCGAAAAGCCTGCACTTGCTCCAACCCATCTCCAAAATCGCACTTGATAATCTCAAACCCAGCCTCCATGCGAATAATCCCCTGCAAGTCCCATTCCTCACAAAGCCGGCATAGGAACTCGGCCCGCTCCCGCTCTCGCACAGGCGCGTTGCCCCGTGCCCGTCTTTGAGATTGGCCACTGCGCAGCAGATAATCCTGCATGTCGAGGGTCCCCATGTCCGTCTTCCCGCCGCTCATGCCGTCGACGTAGAGCAACCGAAGCGGCCGAGTGGTCCGGTACACGTGGAGCCAGCCTCTTTCCGCGCCGCCGCCCATGACCGTTTGCCGCTGGTGTGCAGATGCCGACGCCGGATTTTTCGGCTTCGGCGGCGGGCCGAAGCTGCGCGTGAATCCTTCCGCGTGTTCAATCTCGTACGCGAGCCAGTCTGGCTCGGAGGGGCTTTCGGGGCGGACGTTTCCGTGGTGGAAGAGGACGCCTTGCGGGACGGTGGCTAGGAAGAGCGACATGCCGTTGTGGTGGACTGACGAGCCCCATTGCCGCAGGGCGTTGTGGACGGCGTTGAAGATTTGCGGTGCGCGAAGGCGTGCAAGCTCGGCGCTGGGTCGTAGATGCTCGTCCTGATTACTGAGTGCTAGGTGCGACAGGGCGCAGAGCCCGAGGAGAATGGGCGCGGGAACCATCGTTGATATTGCCAATACATGTAGTTGCATATAGGGCCTTGAGACCTTTCAGCACTCGACGGCCGTAGGTCGATATCCTCTCTTTTAATGCCGACTCGGAGATGTCGTCTAGCGCCGAGACGGCCACGGATCCGATGGCATCAGATAAGATACTCCGCAGATATTACGCGTCCACACCTTTCGTGTGTGTGTGTGGATTGATACCCCGTCATCTCCACGAGGTCCATGTCCGGGGTTACCTACCAGACGCACTTGGTCTCAAGATCAGCCTGGGAGCACATGTTACACGGTTGGCACACAACAAAGGGCGTTGGGCCAACAGAGGTTACACAACAACAAAGGTAACGGTCACAAGCAAGGGCTGCCTCAGGCACACAGCCCTCACCAACTTCCTGTATTTATAGGGACCTTCCGTCCCTCAAGGCCTCGTGCTAAACCAAGGACCTTTGATAACCTAAAGTCAATTAGTATAGATTGAATTGAACCCCCTGTTCCAAGCCCAGTTATCCTGCCCTTGTCACAGCATATCAGGATGGCCCATTCGAGTACATGACGCAACTCACCCATGTATTTGCAGCTTCATACAGTCGTGTCGTGACTCTTGATAAATTAATTTATTACCCTTCCCATGGCCATGATATTCTATTCCATGTTTCATGTCGGCCAATTTTCGCACAAAATGCTCCTTCTTCCCATCCTGCTAACACGCTCATTTTATGCCAACTATATACAAACCGGGCTATAACTGAGATTTTGCCCTCGTAGTTTCCTGATAATCAAACTGCATATACCCCCCGTGATCTCGCTCAGGATCGCCG